TTTATGATTCCAGAAATTTAATGCAGTTTAAGAACTTCTGCATTGTCATTTGATAGATTTTCTGCAACTATATCATATTTTGACTCCTTTCTTTTTGAGATGTCATGAATGGAATAATTGCCTGACTTGACATCATGATGCCAAATTAGAATAATGTAATGTTGAAAAAGAAGATGAGTATTCACACCAAAGTTTCTTGATCTATGCCTTCACTAACAGCATAAATAGTGCACTATGTTGAAAGCTCATGGGCTTTTTAAATTATTTACTATTTCTCAAATATCGTAGTCTTTCTTATGAACATCTGACTTTATGTGCTGATTGCAATGTCATTTCACCTTTGTACCTCAACAAAAAGTAATGGGATTTGTAATGTTGCTAGAAGAGGTGTTGCTCCTACAGGCTTTTACTACTTCAGTATAGTTAGGTGCATGGATACCTCTCTGCATGTGGGACGATTCACCCTGAAATAGCTGTGTCAGTTCATTTTCTGATGCACCTCAATAGCATTATGTGGAGAGTATGATCTCCTTCAAAGTAGGCATGTCTTTCCTTGCAAACATGTCTCAGTTTCTTTGTCCACCATGAGAAGGTGGAGCTGATCATCTCTTTGTGCTCTGGTATCTCTCAAGGAAAACTGATAGACCCATGAAACTAAATTTGTTTTTTAGCTCATTCCCTTTGGGCATCAACACGCTTCTGCTATAAATGGGGAACCATGAACTCGCTGAAAAAATAATTCATTTTTGCAATAATAATTTTAAAAATGCTTGAACAGCTTCGTTGAGTTTATTTTCACCCTTCTCTGGAGGATTTTTTTTTCTTTAAGTATAGAATGGAATATTTTCTTTTCTTAAGAAATCATTGATGAATTTAATTTATATAAGACAAATTTTATCACTGTCTACGTTCAATTCTCATTCTTTTAGTATTCAACTCCCTGTTCTTTAATAAATCATTTTGCATAGGAAAAGCCAGGAAGAGTGGTAACCGATGTGATCACGATGATCTTTCAACAGGACGAAGAAGCCACCGGTGTATCTGGAGGAAGGATTCCCAAGCGGCACGGCCGAGACGCTGCGTGCGATGGGCCACAACATCCAGGGACCCGTGACGGGGTTTCAGCGTCGGATCTTCGGTCGAGGGCACGTCGCGGCCAAGCGGGCGCTCTGGAACCACAGGCACGAATCGGTAGACTCGGACTGGTATCTGGGGTCAGACCCTCGCTCGGACGGCATCCCCAAAGCCTTCTGAAGCCTGCCTATTTCCTTCCTTTTTTTCTCTCTTCTCTTTTCTTAGGGCTCTGTATAGCACTTGATGATGGCAGAAATTGTGACCTGGGAATGAAATGTCTTTTCCATCCTTGCACTTGTTTCTCTTGCTCGTGTGACTCATTGGATATATTTTTTTATACTTGAGGGGATATAGATATGAATAGACTAAAGAGAATGGGCATAATGCATAGTGGCTTCCTTAGTCCCATACATTTGATTTAAAAGCTATAAGCATAAATAGTGAATTTTAGTTACAGTGCTCGTTGTTGGTCTGAATGATGTAAGGCAGCTGAAAAAAAAAAGGTGTAATTTCACTAGAATTTATTACAGCTGCATGGTATGTTTGACGGAAAAGAAGGTTCACAGTTATGGATATTTCTTTATAGAGGAGCTGGTGAAGCTTGAATGATCTCTCGCAATTTTCTCATTATCCTTTTCGATCGCCCAGTCGGATGGGAGCGAACTCGAGAGATTCCACTTGCACCTTGCACTTCGCACTTTGCACCTGCCAAGCCGGGACAGAGCGGGACTCCTTATTTCAACTGCATGTTGGTGAATAAAAATTCCACTCGTGTGTGGTTTTGTCGTCTGCAGATGGCCAAACGTTGCCGTCTGCAAATTCATGAAAGTTCATAAACATTTACAGTTTGCGAATTCAGTCGGTGCCTCCCTCCCTCGATAGTTTAGTTTGGAGAAAACATCGTTTTCAGACGATTCGCTCGCTATACGTCAAGCTTGCTGCCCTGCACTGCTCTTGTATGTGATTGATGGTAAATGTGCTTCCGGGATGAACTATAGAGAAGAAATGCGCTTTAATCTCTGGTAAACATGAGCAGGGAATTTTAAATATTTAAAATAAAAATACACGGAAGGAAATTGAGCTTGCGGACCACGCAGCGATGAGGAGCTCCATGGATTTCACCATGTGATCTCGCAAGGATGCATTTATCGCAAACACGGGAAAAGATGAAGCGTCGCGTTGCTAGCCAAAGGAGCGAGACTTGCCTCGTTTTTCTACTTCATTTGTTGACCCCTCTCGTCGGAAACCCAAATGTCCTTGGAAGACATGTCAACACGAGGGAATCCAATCCTCAGCTTGCAAAATTATAATCGCCACGCATCATTCCAAATAAGGTAACGAGATTAGCCGGATCTGAATCTGTCCTGGTCGTAAGCATGGGAGGTCCCGATCGGGACAAACGTGCCTGGGCTTCATCGATAGGGAATCGGAGTAAAGGACTCTATTAATGTTTAACCGCCCATCGCAAGATGTCACTGCCTGCAATGGATGAGTATATGCGCTCTATGGATGGGATCGCTCCTACAGTGCTTTCGCGATGAGTTCATGCACTCTACGAGGCCGTTCACAAACTACGTAACGTGATTTTTGAACTTTTTCACTCCCCCCCCCCTGTAACACTCCATAACAAAAGCTTCGACCCCCCCAAAAAAAATTACGTGACAAAATATGACCCCTTCATAATTTATAAATAATAAGATAAACAAGTAAAATGCATTTGAAAAAGAAACTCGTTTATTAAACACTCATAACTAACACTGGATTACATCATTGAAAGATGATTTTAAAATGTTTAAAAAGGAAAGGAAAAGTTTTTTCTTTAACTGTTCCTTCTTCAAACAAATAATTTTCCTTTGTCTTTGTTCATTTTTATTTATGGTGATCACGCATTTGAGATTTAAAAAAAAAAAGTAAAAGGAGACGGGGAAATGTAGGGTAGAATGGTGGAAGTAAAGATTGCGATGCCAAGAGAGAGAGGAACGAGGGCAACGTCCAAAGGGTAACTGAGCCTGTTTGGCCTGTCTGGGCAGGTCCAGACATGAAACTGCGACTTGGCGAGTTTTGCAACAGGGGAGAGGGAAGTCAACAGACGTTCCCACGCTTCCAATGCCCACTCCACTGTTAGTAATGGTGGTGGGTGCGGGTGGCTAGTAGGGTTTGCTCTGTGTCGTGTAGGGTTGCCACCTTTGAAATTGGCAAAATATGGACATATGGTCTGTGGACGTATGGAAATATGGACAAATATATGAAGTATACTTGCATTTGTGGTTCTGCTACAAAAACCTACAGCCACCTTTAGCCAAAGTACCAATTGATGCTATAACCCAGGTAACACATCCATGTGGAAACAACATTGAAACAATGTTTCATGGCAACTTTTATAATGTTGAAACAACATTGAGGTGCCACATTGATTCAATGTGAAGATGTCATTTTTGTATGCCTAACTGGTTTGCAAAACGAAGATAAATTCTCTCAGCTCAAATTCTCATAAATTCTCTTAGAAGATTTGTGAATGGACCACTTCAAGTTATTTTTGATTATGCTCTTCACGTCTCCAATCGCCTAGACTTCTATGCGCTCACACTAAACCTGGACATTTAATTTGTCTCAGAATCAGATTCTGCAATCAGAACATCATAATTCCACATTTCTCTAATATATGCGTTCATTAATTACGTAATAATAAGAGGAAAGTGTAGTACCAATTGATGCTATAAGAGTGTGGCATACTACTCTGGCTCGAAGAAAACAGTGGTTTTAGCTGCTATTAAGTTTTATTAACTAAAAAATATTAACAAGTTTATTAAAGTATGGATGAAGTAGTGTCCATATTAAGACAAGTTTGCAGTTTGGACATTGCATCTGAAAATTGAACTATCCATACTAATTATGAACGGGTGGCAACCCTAGTGTCGTGTGAGTGATTTGTTACTAGAATATTACCCTTCTAATAAGAAATTCCAGTCGCCTAATTTATTTTATTTTATGAAAAAAACTTGTTACGTCACATTCGTGCAACCCTCCCCCATAACAAATCGTAACACTTTGTCTGATCCCCCCCCCCCCTTCCCCCTTTGCGTTACGTAATTTGTGAACGGCCCCTATGTGGGCGAAATAAGCTTCACGAAGCGTTTCGTGACCGAACTACGTGAGATGTTGTGTCCCGGGGACTCTGAGAGCTCCATGGTGTTCCCCTCGCATCCCTTGTTCACGAGTCCGTGGCAGGTGGAGGGAATCGTGAGCCACTTCTTCGGAGAGCCCATTGGAGAAGGAGGGGCTCACGATTCCCTCCACCTGCCACGGCAACCCTCCCCCGTAACAAATCGTAACACTTTTTCTGATCCCCCCCCTTCCCCCTTTGCGTTACGTAATTTGTGAATGTGGGCGAAATAAGCTTCACGAAGCGTTTCGTGACCGAACTACGCGCACCATAAGCCCATTTCGAGTGAGTCAATCCTGATGGTTTCTCGAGGTTTATTTCGCTCTCCATTTTCGTTTCGAAGATATCTCCGGATTCCAATGACGCCTCGCAAGCGGCAATTCATGAAAGGTTTTGGCAAGGAAAGCGAGTCGAAAGATAAAAACGCCAATATAAGTTCTCGGGCAGACTCTCATTCGAGTGCAGACCGAGTCCGACGCTGCTTAACACGTAGAATGATGGGTGAATCCAGGGGCCCGTTTAAATCTTAGTCTAAAGGGTCAGGGCGAAGAATAGACTTTTTGCTTTTGGACTGCTTTTTGGCTGCTTTTAGATTTAGGTTAGATTTAGATTTAAGTTTAGCACAGGCGAGGAACAGGCCCCAGGACTTGTTCCTTATGGCCCCGGATATTTTGAACCCAATCAAGGACAAAATGGCCCCGGACATTTTGCTTCCAAGTGAGATGTGAAACAAAATGGTCCCTACTGTAAAAGAGTTGTCAGCTCATCAATTATCAATTATGGCTAATATCATTGCACAACTTTCTAAAAATGAGTTCTTTAATAACTTGGAGATTGTAGGCATCAGTGGATCCGGGGGCGGTTAATATTCGGGGAGACATCTATTTAATAATAGCCGATGTTTGTTTCGTCCGTCTGGCTTGCGCGAGTCGACTTTTCCGAACCCAACCAGTCCTGGAGATCATGTTTTCCATGATCACACACTTTTCAATGTGCATTTTAGGTGTGATGCTTCCGAGGATTTTCTCCAGGTTACATGTAATGGAAAAAAATAAAGACTCAGCTACAAAATGCTTCTTACTGACTTGAAATATCTTGAACGGTGATTTGGTATTAAAAAAAAAAAGAAAAAAAAAGATTGAATTTGGGTTAGCAAAAATCGACGTTGCGCTCACCGACTCGATCCCCTCGACGGCCCGACACTCTCGAGAAGGGGAAGAGAAACGCTGAACTCAGCATTTGTCGCGAGGATCATGGAATGTCCCTGCCGTCGTAGGCAGTCGGTCATTTTTCCTAACCCAAATTCGATTAATTTTTTTTGTAAGTCACCGTTTAAGATATTTCGAGTCTGAAAAAAAAAAGTTTTTGTAGCTGAGTCTGCCTTCTTTCCATTATATGTAACTATATACTCTGCTTTCGACCCATCTGCCCCCCCCCCCTCGAAATTTATTTCTGACTGAGTGAATAGTAATAGCATGCGAAAGTATTATAGTTGTATTTTATTGCAACGCAACAGCTGTGTGATTAAATTGGATGGCAATATTGCTTTTAAGAGATGACAGAACATCGCTCTTTCCTTTTTTTTCCCCCTGTCATCCCCAGTCTTTTAATCACAGAAAAGTACAGACGTCTGCAAACCATAAGGATTCACTCGTGCCGTCGTGTTGCGTGAAATGGGAAGGAGAGAAGGAAATAGAGGATATGCTCTTTCAATCGAGTCATCGAGAAGTGATGAAATGACACCATAGGGGAGCCTTTCCCATCGTCACTGCAAAGGTGCACTCAGAAACTGGCAGCATGATTCAATTATGCCTCAGGACTCTAACCGACCTGTTTCAGCGTACTATGAGCTCGTCTGCAGCTCTACTTCACTCTATTGTTAACGTATCATCTGTTGATTAAGGTAATATTTGCGTACCTCACATTTCTGTCAAACCGTGTTTTATTCGGTCCAGTCTGTAAAACTGCAGTTTCCCCCATATTAGTCCCAGCACTTCACCCAACTTAGTCCACGAACCAGTTGTAACCAATCGGAGGGTATTTCCTCACCCTTTCTTTTCTCCTCTACCCCCTCGAGGACGAGGAGACGGTGAAACGCCCTCCAGCGCGTCAGAGATGTTTCGGA